CATGGGCAGCACATTAGTGGTTGTTGGTCTGTAGGATAAGAAAAGACAGTTATTTTTGAGGCTAGATGGAGGCTGTCCCCATCTTCTCCTCCCTAATGGCCCTCAGTACTCTAGAAGTGCTTTGGTGACCATGTTTATGGTTGGTCCTTTTAATTTTGAGGTATCTTGTTTCCATATTTCCATTCTCTTCATCTGCCTCTTATAGCCTTGTATTATTCCAATGAATATCCAGCTTTGCTTGTTTGAACAAAAGAGGGAGGAAGGTTTGACTGTTAAACGCTTCTCTTAAGTGGGGCTCACTTGTTAGTTCCCAGTAATAGCTCCATTCAAGAGAATGCTCCAGTGTCAGTAAATGCAGCCTGCTCACGCTACCCTACTTATGCCCATTCTGAAAGCCCTGTTTCTGGGGTGAACCCTCTTGTCATCTTCTTTGTCCAAGTTCTGGGGGTTCCTGGGGTCTCCTTGGAAGTGTTGGGTGCACTTAAGGCTTCTGGAGACAGTGAGCAGGTGATATTCTGTGGTTGTCATGCAAGCTTCAGCTGGAGCAAGTTTAAACCCCTGGTGGGAACCAGCTCAGAGACCCATTTTTCTCGTTTGAGAGAAAAGTGAAGGGCTCTCAGGTTATTGGGGAGCAGAGGTCCTTTTATTGTTATTGCTGCTGCTGTTGAGGATATAGCACAGCTGGAGGCCAGAGGTTGCCATTCTTCCTGATAGGGTCTCTCACTGAGCATGGTTGCTCGATGACTGGCTGGCAAACCCTTAGGGATTCACCTGTCTCTGCCCTCTTAGCACACAGGTGCACACGAGCAAACCCAGGTTTTACATGAGTGCTGGAGATCCAAACTCACTCTACACCCCAAGCAGCCTCCCCAGCCCTTTGGCCCCTGCTTCTGAGTGAGGATGTTTTCCTTGTCCATCTGCGTGCCTTGGTTTCTTGGGCCTTCATGAGACACCACTTCTGGTTTTCCTTTGGGAAGACGAAGGGTGACTGCTGTTTCCTTCCTGTCTCCCAACCCTGCGGAGGCTCCGTAGAAGCTGTGCATTCGGCAGGTTGTTTGAAAGCCTTTGATGGCAAGCGTGCTAAGCAGAGACAAAAGGACAAAAGGTATTAAGAAAATACCTAGAATGCGCCATCGCATAGACAGAAGAAAGGAGAGGTTTCTGGACTGGCAGCCTGGCAAGGGCTACTGTTTATAGTGGGTATCAGCTTACGCTTGTGATGATAAACAGTTGTGGTGATGGCTTCACAGCTGTGTCACTGCCCTTAATGCCACTGGGCGGTGCACCTAAAAAATGTTTAACCTGGAAAGTTTTATGTTGTGTATATTTTACCACCGTAAACTATTTTATTTTGAAAGAGAAAACTAAAATGCCCAAAGGAGGTTTCCCCCACTTATCACCCATCCCTCTCAATTTCCTAATCCCATTATTTCTGTCCTTGACTTGGTTTAATTTACTTGGGGAGGAGAAAGCTGTTCACCACAGAGTTACTAATTCGTTGGAAATGATAATGCACCTGTGAGATAAAAATGATTATATGTTGAGGAATAGCACTTATTGATAATTAAGTGTTTCATTCCTTCTTTGCTTCCCCAAATGGAATAAATAAATATTTTAGACATAATCAAGTTTGTTTTCTCTATTCAGGCCAAACAGACAGGGATGTTGAAGATATATAGATGCTAAAAATGCTACCAATGAGTCTTGACACCACTAAACTGTGAAGGCATGGAGGCTTCAATCCAGGCTGTCTTCTGTTAGTCAAGAAAATGTTTTTCCCCGTTTTGTTTATCTTTATTTTTTGTGTTGTGTTTTCACATCACTTGTGGGGAGTGATGAGTCCAGATAAGAGCGTCAGGTTCCCTGGAACGGACGTTACAGATGGTTGGGAGCCACCCATGGTGTGGGTGCTGGGAATTGAACCCAGCTCCTCTGGAAGAGCAACTACTCTTAAGCACTGAGCCATCTCTTTATCCCCGGGAGAAGCATTTTTGTGATACATAAGTATCAGGGCCTGTAGGGTTAGAGACAAGGGACCGTCAAGGAAAAGTGCAGAGTCAGAAGCCAAAACTGTGCCAAGAGCTGTCTGCTCCCTCACAGCCATGTGCATTTTAAACCCCAGTTCCTAGCTGATTGCCTCCTTCCTGTCTGCCTGGTGGCCCAGCACAGGTCTCAGCAGTAGTGACCTGGAGCAGCGACTTCCATGGTGGACCAAGGGCTTGGGTGGGAACACAGACACAGCTTGAGTGGGAGAGCCCTGCCCTTGCCTCTGTTCTGCTGAGTATGAATCCACTGGGCCACTAGGGGCCTCCAAACCTTTGGCGGACCTCTACCTCCTGGAGGGTCACTGGTTTCACCGTCCTTCCTAATAGCTCGCATGGGTTCTACTTATCCACCCACATTCTCAAGCCTCCTGTCCAGAACACTACGATTGGCGAGTCAGCAACCTGGCTGGAGGAGATATATGGTCCCCTTCTGCAGAGACCGCAGGAGCCTGTCCCCTCGCTGTATGAGTGTCCTGTGACAACTTATCAAAAGCTTGGTGACTTAGCACCAGTCACTGTGCCGTAGGTGGTGGCTGCTCTCCCTCCCCAGCTGTAGCTGACCGTCTGTGGCGTGAGGTGGCTGGTTGTGACTGTACTTCCTACCGTGCCTGCCTTTGCCCTCCCATGACCTTTGCTCTGTATCTTTCCATCTCCCACCTCTTATGAGGACACCAGCCGTTCAGCTAGGAGCTCTCCTTAAACCTGCGATCCTTAATCACATTTGCAAAACCACTTTTTTTCAGGGATGGGGTGTAGGCATACATTTGGAGGGTCACTATTCAACCCTCTACAGTCACTCCACCTAGCAGTGAGGTAAAACACAAACAAAACAAACAAAAAAAAACAACATTAACAAAACTCTAGCTCATTTGGGCTTGTTTATTTGCAAGGTGCTGAAGTGGGCCCAGGCCAGAGGGATTAGCTTCCCAGGCACGGTGACCCACAAGCTTGAAGCAAGGGATATGAGGTAGGGGACGAATGGCTGAGGAAAAGGGGACACCCAGAGAGGAGGAGTCAGGAAGCTCTGTAGGTTCTCTCCGTGGACACAGCCTGGGAAATGTGAGCCTCTTTTTAGATAGCCCCTGTGTGGTGGCTGATTCTGGCACAACTTTAACCCACTGGGGATGAGAAAACATCTCATCCGGGCCTCCTCAGCAGACAATTGTGCCCTCTTTAGAGCATGTCAGACACCTGCCTCACGAGTCTACAATGGTCCAGGCTGTGTGTTCTATGTGGAAGCATCAGTGCGGTGTTTGGTACATGGTGACAAATGGCACAGCTTGAAGACCATGATTGCATTTGTGGGGTAGCCCCAGCCCTCTGTTTCACTGGAGGTTGTTTGAGAGCGGGGAGCCACCTTCTTCCTGAAGACTCTTCCAGAGCCTGCTGTGGGAATCGTGATGCAGAAGCTCAGTGTGTCAGCTCCGTTTCCCTGGTAGTCCCCGGAAGGTGATGGTAGTAGAGGTGGCTGTGTGAACCACAAGGGGCTTGAGATTCTCTTTCTACCTTGGATGGCTGAGCCCCAGAACAGACACAGAAGCTGAAATGGACTGTCTGCCTCCTAGTCATTGATAGAAAGCACTGACAGTCATACTATATAACCAGTCAGTTGGATTTTTGTCTCCCCATGCTTCACATTAGGCCTGTTTGCATCTTTGGGGATCAAGAAATGTCATAATTTGTAAACAACAGACCTCTTTCAGTTCTGGAGGCAAGAAGTCAGAGCCCCCGTGCCAGCATGGTCAGCCCTGGGAAGGGCTCCTCTACAAACTTACCGAAAGACACCTTATTGTAGCCTGACTAAGCAGGAGAGGGGGAAAACATTTCTATAGGAAGCCACTCTGGAGGGTTTCTTTCTCATGACCAGCTTCACCTCCCAAAGACACACACACACACACACACACACACACACGCACGCGCACACACACACGTCCATAGCAGAGTCCTGGGGGTCCAGATCTGGGGCTTGCTGTATGCTTGTACTACCTCTACTTCCAGGTACCAAGTGTGAGGTCCAGAGAACAGAAGCAGGTGCCCAGGTTCCTCCCAGGAAAGGCTGTAACCAGGCCCCTGCCTCATCGCTGTCTCTCCATCTCTGTCCAGGTCCCCTTGCACATTAGCGCCAACACGACAGCTGTGCTCAATGCAAGGTGGTAGACCCACCATGTGTGGGCCCACGTGGTACCCTGGGGCTTACTGAGTAGGGTCACAGATGTGGCCACATACTGGAAACGCTGTTGGGGGTGGAAAGAGAAGAAAGGAAGGGGCAGGAGGGTGGAGAGCGGCACGCAGGATGCTGAGCGGCAGTCGCCTGCCAAAATTCTTTAGTGCAGCTTGTCTAGTAAAGCCGGCCTCCAGCCGAGTAAATACAGTGGATAGCTGACGGGCTGACAGCAGGCATCAGACAGTCTTAAACTGCCCCAAATCCACAGCGTGTTTGAAGCGGCAGCAGCAAAAGGATGCCCGCACAGAACAGAGGCCTGCAACTTTTAATAGTTCCTTCCAGGCCTCAGGATGTCCTGATGAGGTATTAGAGGAAGTCATTCAGGAAGAAAAGGACCAATAACCGCCTCCGCATGGAGGCCGACCCGAGGGCTAGCCATCGAAGCTCACAGAAAGGGCCAGCAAGGCCCCGCAGAGATCCAAGAGGCTCTCCGTAGCCCACAAGCCTGCCTCCGCACAGAGCCAGACCCTTGTAAATAACAGACAAGTATATTTCTTGTTTGCTTTGGGGCAAATGTAAGCCGCACGGTGCCTGCTGCATGTGGGTGGAATCCTGACTATTGCCTCACTATTGGAAGGGTGCTGGGTACAAATCGGAATCACTGCTTAGCACATCTCCATATCAGCCCCCCCCCACTGCCCACCCATCTGGAGCCTGTCCTGACTGCAGGCCACCCTGCACATCCTGCAGAAACCAAACTCACTCCTCCTCTCTGTTTCTTCTTTCTTTAGGGTTTGGCTTTGTCACTTTTGAGAATGAAGACGTTGTGGAGAAAGTCTGTGAAATTCATTTCCATGAAATCAATAATAAAATGGTAAGTCTGGAGGGATTTTTCTGGAATAGGGAGCCCCTGTGTGTCACATCCCTATCTTGTGAGTGACCGCAGCGTCAGTGTCATGCATACAGCACACGGAGCGGTATGAGGGCAAGGCTCGCAGAGTTCAGCCCCATTAATGGTAGAGTTGTGAGAAACAGTAGCCAATAATCTCTTTCAGTGAAGGGCCATTTGGAAGTAATGATGTTTATCTGTAATACCAGTACTTACATTTAGGAGGTTGAGGCAGGAGGATCACCGCAAGGTCAAAGCCAGCCTTGCCTGCAGAGTGAATTCCAGGCCAGCCAGGACTATGTAGTGAAACCTACCTCAAAAATCCAAAAATAGGCTGGCCAAATGATGGTGGCGCACGCTTTTGGTCCCAGCACTTGGGAGGTAGAGGTAAGCAGATCTCTGTGAGTTTGAGGTCAACTTGGTCTATGTAGTGAGTTCCAGGACAGCCAGAGCTACATAGCCAAGTTTGATCCTCAGAAGTCCAAATAAAAAAACGCTGGGTATGGTGGTGTGTTCTTAGAACCCCAGCACTGCAGAAATGGGACGCAGGCAGATCCCCAGGGCTGACTAGACAGCCAACCTACCCTAGTTGATGAGTTCCAAGCCAATGAGAGACTCTAAGGGTGGAGGTGGGAGGGGGCATTTCTGAGGAGGAACACAGGGATGGTCTTCTGGTTTGCACACATGTGCACTCCCTACACACAGTTATACGCATTACCATCCCTACATACATACACAAAGCCAAAATAATTATAGAAACAAAAAAATCCAAATAGTAGGTATTCAGGCTATCCTACAAAAAACAACAACAACAACAAAAGAATTTACTAATTTTTGGAGCTGTTCATCTGACCATCTCAACCACTCTGTGTTGTAATGCAAACGTGTCCACAGGCCCAACATACGTGAATTCCTGTAGGTGGATCATGGTACCCCCCTCTCCTTCCCTCCAACACAGAATCCAACATTCAGAGCAAGCATTCTGCGTCTTGTTGCATATTCAGCTCTCTTATATTTTAACCATTTGATAATATAAAAGAACATTTCCAAATAATATAAAAGAACAGGCAAAGGCAGGGCATGCTGGGTATAGTCCACAGGCTGGAGTTTGCAGCCCCCTGCTTTCTATCATGCATTTTGGGGGGAAAGGGGTTTTGCTCAAACTCAGAGCTGCTCTACCCCTGCCTCCTGAGCGCTCGATTGAAGGGTATGTCCTGTCCTCCGGCCGTGCTTTTGATGGAAGGCCCTGGAGGAGCAGATCTTAGTTGGAGATTTGCCGAACTGTTTCTTTCTGCCCTCATAATCAGCTGCCTCCTTCCCTTCCCTGAGCTGTTCCTCCTGGTGGAGGAAGCCTCAGGAGGGGGCTGGTTCCACTTTTGGAATTCTGTAGAGTCAGGGAGTCCTCCCACAGGACTGGCCACCAGAGGGTGCCGTGCCCTGAGTGGTGTCTGCCGGGCCAGCTCTTTCTCTCATCTCACACTCCTCAAGTTGACTGTGGGGTGACAGACCCCCTTGTTTGTTGGTTCTAGGAAAAAAAAGAGAGCTCAGCAGGTGTTTCTGGACCCATCTGCAGGTCCCCCAGAGCACAAACATTTTGGTTGGCCAGCAAAGCCTCCGGCCCGGAGAGAAGAGGGTGGGTAGGCGAATATGTGCTCCGACCGCAGCTGTGACTTTGATATTTCTTCTCCCTTTTGTCAAAACATTCCTTGCTTCTGAAACATGCATTCAGATATGCATTGTATATTGGTCTGATATGTGTTCACCAACTTTAGATTCAATAATAGAGCTTTTAGTGTGGATAAGATCAAAGCAGTCTGCTTAGCATGTGGTGCTACAGGCTTGATTCAATATTTGACTTGCTAATTTTTTCCCAGGGCACTAAAATAATATTGTTCATATTGTTCCTAGCCATCATATGCATCCGAAATGAAAATCGTCTTTCTTTGCATAGTGTCTGTTGGAGGCATCTGCACAGGCATTAACATGGGTGAGGGAGGTGGGCGGAGGGGCACAGCACAGGGTCCTTCGTAGGCTTTGTCCTCCAGGTGCAGTGACCTTCCAGACGGTACCTCCCTCCCCACCCTAGGTCAGGGTTGCTGTTTCCTAAACTAGAGAGGTGGGGAACCTACATCTGTGTGCAGCCTTGCTGATCCGCTCCTCCGACAGAGGTTGTTGGGCCTCAGAGAGTGACAGAGACAGCAGAGAATGAGGACAAATACCCTTCCTGCATCCCCAGCAATTTGCTGGGAAGGGCATAATGAAGACAGGAGATGAATCCCAGTGTCACTCTTGGTAGACTTTGAAATAAGCCTATGATACAGGATGGCAAAGGCTTTATTGTCTCAGTGGGGAAACTGAGACCCAAGATTGGTCCCAGGGCTACCAGTGTGAAGGAGCATAGGTTTTGAGCTTCCTGGCTTCTCAATGAGCTGTGTAGACTCTTGTCTGAGTGTGGGGTGAGAGGGTAATCCCCCAGATGACCAGGGCAGGGGGGTAAGGACATGCTGACTAGGAGCCAGAGACGCTGGCAACCACTTCCCTCATGGACCGGTGCCACTCTTGATGTAGGTAGCACTGACTAGATAGTAACCGATGACTTTGAGGTGCCTCTAGTATAAAATTCCTGTCTTCTTGTAATCTGGGAATGTTCTGGCTCTGTAAGAAATAAGCAAAATTGGAAGTAGACAGAGAAGGGGAAAGCATGGGGACAGAGTAGTTCAGATCCAAGGCTTCAAGGTGTCGGTGGAGATTCTACCCAGAGGAGGAGCAGCAGGCAGAGGTGCTGGGGAGCAGGGGCAGAGTCAGGTTACTGAACCCCAGCAAACCAAGCTAAGCCTGCCGCTTCCCTGCGTTGTTGGTAGAGGAGCCTGTAGCCTGAGTTGCTTTTGGATTCACCAAGAAAGGAAATGCATTTAAACTGGTGGTACTATGAGCCACCCAGAAAGACCGAGAACTGGAAGACCCCTAAGCCGAGGCAGTTGCTAAAAGGGGCACAGGAGAGTTTGCTATTCTGTGCTGTGAAACTGGGAAGGACAGTCCCCAGCCCCTGCCCTCGCCCCTCAGTATACCTGTGTACCCACGTTCTCATATTTGCAGATCTGATGGGGCTCAGACTTGAAGCCAGGGCCTCAGTGGCATGCACCTGGCATTCAGCAGACTTAATTCATAACTGTGGAGTGAGTAAAGGAGTTGGTAAGGAGCCAACCACTGACTCAAAGGCACACCGTAGTTCTCAAAGCCATCTCTCCTCTAGTTTGGTTTGTGAATCTCATGAGCTTTTTTAAAAGCTCTTCAACAGCTTGGAGCTAGGGCAGGTGGAAGGGACTGAGGAAGATAGGATCACAGAACGGCCTCCTACCTTGAGGAAATTCCTCCAGGGTGGGGTAGAAGTTTGGGCAGGAAGTCTCCACCTGGCACTTTCTGTTACAGGTGGCAGCAACTAAGATTTTAGAATGTGTACACTTTGGTTGCTAGACACTTGCTTGGTGCACCTTGCCTTGAGTTGATTGCCACACCCTTTCTGGTATAAACAAGATCAAACCATTTCCCCCATTTTACATATAGGCAAGGCAGAGATGAAGCAGCTGCCCAAGGCCACACAGTCAACAAGTGGCAGTTCCAGAATTCAATACCAGAAAGCTGCACTCCTGAGCTCATGACTGAACCCATACATAAGGCTAAACTTCCTCTGTAGATTACAATGAAAGGCTATCGTGATGGTCTTACTGGGTTAGAAGACCTGCCATAACCACTGGGCATCCTTTCCCCCTCAGACCATGTAGTTTCTTGATCTCCTAACTGAAGGTCAGATTCCCAGCCAGGGGAGAGGACCAAGTTTGGGCTTAGGAGTCCTGGTCAGTCCTGAATCCAGGCCTCTTCCCTTGATCCTGGGGGCATGGCAGGGAGTTGGCTGCCACTGGGGCTCAAGGTCCAACCCACAAGAGCTTGGTCTCAGCCCTGGCCGGAGCAAACACACAAATGCAGGCTTGGAGCAGCCTCATGCTCCTCCTCTGACCACTCTGCGAGCCCCAGTGTGGGTGCAGGTAATAACGCCTCCCATGGCGGCATGCCCCTGATTGAAGCAGTCCCGATTAGTCAGTCACCAGAGCCCAGCCTGCAAGCAGCCTCCTGATGTGCCAGGCAGCCCCAGGGAAGGAGGTGAGAATTGACACAGAGCCAGCTTCTGGATTCCTCAGAGGCCTGGTGCAGCTCCCCATCTCCAAATGGTATTGGAGAGATGCTGGTACCCTTTGGGTAAGAATGGAGGATGTAGTGTGGATGGTACCGGGGTAGAGTCTCTCCTACACCTCGTTCACAGGGTGTTGGTGTTTCCAAGCACTCTGCTGGTCCTGTGCAGGCCCAGACAATGCCACTGCCCACCTGCCTTTCCCACAGCATGCTAACCGAGCCCTGCCAGTTCTCCAAAGGGACGGCTGGAGCTCAGTGGGAAGGAGGCATTTGCGTAATGGGACAATCACAGGTGGAAGAGCTGAAGTTTGTTTTTTTCTTTTGTTTTAACCTTTCTGGGCTTTGGAAAATTTTTTTCTTACCTGTTTGTGCGTGTGTAGGTGTGAGGGTGCCGTGATGTGCGTGTGTGGAGAGGGGAGAAGACAGCTAGGAGTCAGTTCTCACCTTCAAGTGGGGCCCAGGGATTGAACTGAGATTGTCAGGCTTGGCAGCAGTCACTGAACAAGTACCACAGTAAGGGAGGAGGAGGCTAGGAAAGAAAAACAGCCCCTGCTTAGTTTAGAGCCCCTTTTCTTAATTCCTCTATTTAAGGCATTTGCACTTACACAAATCTGATAAGCAAGACATTGGTATAGGCTCTGTCTTGGAATGAATGGAAGCCTAGCAACCCCCCCCCCATGCACACGCATCATGGTTAGCAGGTGGCCTCGGGGTGGGCATCCTGCTGTAGCAGGTAAGGACTTCTGAGTCTCTGTCCCTCTTAGCCTAGGACTCAAGAGTCATTCATGTGCGCATTG